TATTACTCAAGAAACTCCAGTGAGAATTTCATTTCATAATTGTGAATTACATATATTGGGGAAATTTTCAAGTTTTGCTCCTTCTAGTCTCCCCTTTCTGCCCATAGAATCATCAGTCTTGTTTGTTTTACTACCACATTCTTTGAGAAGACTGTTGATGTTACAAGCCTGGTTCTACCTGTCTCTCATTCTGGGAGAAAGACTAAATCAGGAAGGAATCAGTCTCAAAGATGATATAATCAGTTGCTTTTCTTACGTTCTTACCTTGAATACTCCAGCATCAGAATAAGCCCAATGCTGTAAAAGCAGTAATCTGTGCTTTCTGTGGCAGAGAGACATTAGAACTAAAATCTCTAGTTTTGATAAACCCTAAAATTCCCAGCAACTACCTGATACGGCACAATGTTCCATTATTTAGCCAAACTTAACTCAGGCTGCACAACTGCACTTCTATTATTAAAAACATTAAAAAACAATACATTGCACTTCCCACCCACCCCCAGAAAGAAAAAAAGCAATAATTACACTAAGACAGTTCACTCCAAAATTGGCCCAATACTTAAGGAAAAAGCTGGATCTTTAACACCTCATGAAAGGCCATCAAAGTCAGGGCCATCCAAATTTTGCAGGATATGCTGTTCCATAAGCCAGGCACCATGACAAAAAGGCACACTTTCATGTTCCCATTAGATGGCATTGTTTAATAGATGGGACCTGGATCATGGCAACAATGCTAGACCTTGTGGGATGAGCAGAAGTCATTGCAGACAAGTGGTCCTGCAAATAACCGAGCTGTGTGCTATAAAGAGCTTTATAGGTGTTACCCAGCACCTTGAATTGCACCTGTAAGTCTACTAGGAGCCAGTGCAGCTCACAGAGTAGAGGTGATAAGTGGGTAAACTGAGGCACACCCATAAAGCTGCACCTTTGGAGTAGTCTTCAAAGGTGGTCCCATGTAGAGTGCATTGCAGTAGTCCAAATGGAAATGACCAAGGCGTGAGTGATAGTAAATAGGGCCTCCCAGTCTAGGGATAGGAACAATCAGTGCAGAAGATGGATTTGTGTAAAGGCCCTCCTAGCCATACCTGTTGTGATAGAATGCAGTAGAGATCCAGGGTCTCAGGAAGGAGGGAGTACATTCCAGGGGGGAGACAAGAGGCAACATAGTCCAGAGCAGCTCTGTTGGGGGGGGGGGGGGGTCACCTTATTCCGGGGCAAAGATGTTAAGTCCCTAGCTCTGGGAGGTCCCAAAATCCATAGGCATTCAGTTTTACCAGGGTTGAGCTTGTGCCTGTACCTTCTCATCCAGGCCTCTACAGCATTCAGACACTGAGAAAGCACCTTGACAGCATCACTTTATTGGGCCAGGGTATAGTCGAGTCTCATTAACATACGAATGATACCTGGCCCCTTGATGTTGGATGACTTCACCCATTAGCCTTATGTAGAGGTTTAATAGCGAGGAGAGAGTAGAGCCTTTTGGGACTTCGTATCTTAAGGGTTTAGGCTAAAGCTCTCCCCTGTCACCAACTGGAACCAACTCTGGTAAAAGGAGAACCACTACAACATTGTGCCTCCTACGTCGGTCTAGAAAGAAACTATGATCAATGGTATTGAAAGCTGCTGGGAGATCAAGGAGCACTTCCTTGGAACCAACAAGCTCACATTCATCCCATATAATGAGGCCAGACTGTTTCAGTCAACTCCATTGGACTTGAAGATCTGGAGTGCAGCTCAAAGCTGATCCAAACAATCTGACAGATGCCTACAATGTTCCTCACAGCAGCCTTGCAGGTGTTCATCCAGTGCCCCTTTTCCCAAGAAGGTTTAAGTCACCTTAAACAGAGCCACTGGTTGGCAAACTGCAGATGTGATACAAGTGAAGAAGTAGTTACATTTTGCTGCTCTGAGGTAATCCTTAATAAAACCCATGTTCAGTCAGTTTCACTGCTTGTTTTCCTCCAAGAGTGCTCTAGGTATTCTTTTGTTGTTTTATCTGCCAGGGCATCTTCAGAACCCAAAAGGCTCTCTAAGATCCCAAAGCAAGGAGAGGTCACACAGTGCGATCTGATCCAAAGCCATTGTTTTGTTCCAAGTTGTGACTAAGTTGTTCCAAGTTGTGACTAAGGCCTCAGTTACCTCATGTACTAGAATGTTAGGGCAACCCCAAGTTCCCTTTGAAACTCTTCTGGTATGGACTGATCAAATAGATCCTACCTCCCTGAGTTTGGGGCAGCCCAGAAGAACTTTAACGCAGAAAGTGATCTCACTGCGACAAGGAATTGATATTAATTTACCCATATCCAGATTGCATCACATCACCTCTGCTCTGAGACAAAAACCAAATCCAACATATGACCACTGCTATGGGTCAGGCCTATGGTTGTCATGGTGACCATGAATTCTGAAGCCACGTCCAGTTCCATACTAGAGAAGGCAGGTTGAAGTGACCCAAGTGTATGATTTTAGGAAATTCCACTGCCAACCTGGTTGCAGAGTCAAGCAAGGAAGCTGATACAAAAGCAGTAATCCCAACTGATCCTTAGAGCCAATTTTACAAGCAGGATTTCACATCCAGTTATCTTTGGTGCAGCATCCCTGAAAGCCACAAGACTCTCCCTGATACTGATAGCCACACTTCCACCCATACCTTAGGATCACATCTGATGCCACACTCAAAACCCAGGAGGCCTCATTTCTGAGTTGGGGGGTCCCCCCTCTATGCCCAGTTAGGTCTTGGTTATATATGCCAGCTTGGCCCTTCTACCCATGATTAAATTGTGGATGAGGGAAGCCTTATTGCAGGCATTATTAATGGTGCAAATGTTCTGCCTATATGGGAAACAGCTCATCCACCAATAGGTTTACTGTGATTGCCATTCCTGTGCTCCTGAATTCTTCGCCATAACTTCCTCCCTGCATCCTACTTCCTGATGCACTGGAAACTTTTGCAGTGTTCGGTAGGACAGGTGTTCATTCCTCTTCAGTGATCTTTTTTGTGATGCTGCCATCTTAAGGATCCACTTAATTCTTTGCATCTTTGAAATTTTGCTTTTCTTCCTGATGCAAGCCAAGAAGTATTTATGAATGAACCTTTGGCTCCCACTAAACCCTCCCTACCCAGCTGCACTCTGAAGAAATATTCAGAGGGGCAAAAAGAGGCAAATCAGGCATTAAAAAATGTTGGATTTACAACATTCTTCTATACATTCAGGAGGCTAGTCTCAATTTTGCTGTCTACTACATTGGTCCTGAGAACTGAATGGGAACAGCGGGAACTTTTCTCCTTGTGCATGTGCAGTAACAATGTAGAATCTATGTGTGAGGGCACTGATGATTATTTGGATAACTTAGAGTTACATACAACCTGATTTTTCTCTAACCTATGAGAAATAATTAACGAAGTTACGTTTTAAATAAATGATATGCCTCTTTTTCTAAAAATATAATTTAATATTCTATTTTAGATAGTCTCTTATTTTCCATTAATAACATAAGCATCTATGTTTACATGATGGTGATTCTGTTACAAATGAGTTATCTTCAAAGTAGTGTGATTTACAGACTAGAAGAAATCATATTGGAATTATTTTGATCTGCAGTTACAAATCCTGAAAGAAAAAGCTCATTATGTGCTGACAAATCAGGGATTCAGCCAACCTAAATTCTCTGATAATAACACTTCTGTGCACCTAGCATTCCTAGGCCCAGATGATGATATTTAATGAAGGAGCTTGCTGTCATTTGAAAGCAGTGGCAGTAAAGCAGCGGGAAAGCTACCTTAGATAGGGAAATGGCTGGCAATAAACTTTATTTAGACGACTAATCAAGCCCCCTTCCATTTTATGTGCAAGGACTTCACAGAATGAGAGCAATCTTATGTGATACAATAAGATACAAAAATAGAGTTGCTTTTAAATAACAGCTGATTATTGAAAGTCCTGTTGTGACAAATTGTGAAAGAAAGGATGCAGAATCTTGAAGTGTATCCATCTCTTCAATCATACATGCCTTGCCCCAAATGTATTCACCTAGGCATTTGATTTTGGCACTTCCCGAAATGTACAAAATTCCTTTGAATTTGACAATTCCTTTAGAACATAACTTTACAAAATAAAGAATATGGGTGATGTTCATTAGAGCTAGCTTTTGAAACACCTCTTCATTTTATTGGGGTAATATCAGTTCATTCCCAAGCTTCTCTTGTTTTGCAATGTAACTTAAAATGACTTGGTAGAATCTTTACTGCTATTGTGTAAACTATCATCATGCTCACCAGGTGGCACTGTGGGGAAAAAAAAGTAACTTAAATCTTGAATTTATTAAAAATATTTTATGCTGTTTCCATGCAGTCATCTGTAAGTTGTGTACAAATACTAGAATAAAAATATAATACAACATTACAATAAAAATTTTTAATATAAAAGTCTGCAATAAAAAGGTGGTGGGAACATCCCTACACACAGGCATACACAGAGTCATCCATAATGTTTATAAAGGGAAAACCAGTTTGCCTTCATTCACATTTTCAAAAGAATCAGCTAAGTGGTATCTCACAAAAGAGGAAATTAAAATTAGAAGCTTATGAAAGAGAAGTTAGATACAATTACAGGTGAATGAAGTTGAAAAATAGGTAAGCTCTGCGTGAAACAGAAACGTAAAGATGACAAAGTAGATGCTTGGCTTTCTTACTAGCAGTCCTAGAGCAGATAGATATTTGTGGAGGGGACGGGGACCTGTGGGGGTACCGGGGAGATATTTTTCATAATTTTAAAATTAAAAACTCTGGCATTCTGTGTCACGGGATAACAGATGAAGTACATATAAGAGAAAAGAGGCTGTACCTGGTTGGAATCCTCTATAATATTGCACATCTGAAATGATGTTGGTCACTAGGAGGGATAGAAATAGTAGGTACTTAAATCTCGACTTGTATAGAGAGTCAAAAGTCAAATTTACAGAAAGGAACTTGATTCTATATTCTCTGTCTGCCTTACCAGGTTGGTGACTTTGGAGATGCCACAAATTGGCCAACACCAGGTGAAATAGCTCACAAGAGTGTACAGGTAAAAAACATATTCTGGCTGGGGGGGAACTTCCCATCTGTTGTTTGGCTTATTTGTGAATTGATGGAGTAGCTGAATGAAGAATATTCTCCAACTCAGTAAATTCTGTTGTTTAGAAGTGGTGTTTCTTGTTCATGAAGTGGCTTGTTATAATAGTATCAGCTCACTCCTCCTGTTCGATTTTTAAATTGATTTTATCCTTTTGATTTGTTTCCCCGTTCAATTCTATCTCCTCTCCTGTCTTTCCTCTCTCCAAGTATTTGGATCTCATGTCCATACCATCTACATTTCCCTTCAGTTTTCATAGCTTTTATTCTTTATGTGGGCATGGAAAAAATACTTATTTTTGGAGCCTGATTTATTTTTTGAAGTCCTATTTCGTTTTCATGATTTGTGTTTGTCATGGTGTTGATTGCATTTGATTAAAATAAAATACTGAGTATGTTTTAGAAGGTATTTCTCTATTGGAAGGGTGTTTTTGTTTTGTTTTTGTCTTTTTGTTGATAACTGTAACATCTACTACTACAGATACTTAATCTGGCTATCGAACAACTGTTTAAAGCAGCATATATTCCAAAAAAAGTACAATAAAATGATCTTTAAGTAGTTAAATTGGTGTTTCTGCTGCTCCCCCATCATATTCTTCAGTGCAGATTACATCTGGCTGTGGATATTTTTCACTTCATTCCAGGAAGGATGATGCCCAGAACTGGCTATCGTTCTTGGTGCTTTTGCTGTTAAGCATACATATGGGTAAATTATAGCATAAATGTGGATAGAGATTTTTTTTTAATCCATTCAGTTGTGTCCGATTCTTGGACACTGACTGGACAAGTCCCTGCAGTTTTCTTGGCAAGGTTTTTCAGAATTAGTTTGCCATTGCCTCTGTCCTAGGATTGAGAGAAAGTGACTGGCCCAAGGTCATGCAGCTGGCTTTGCGCCCAGGTGGGACTAGAACTCCTGGTCTCCCAGTTTCTAGCCTGATGCCTTAACGACTACACCAAACTGGCTCACATAGATAGAGATATGTTGGATAGAAAAATGCAGATATGTATGAATGTTTTTTATAACTTTATTAAATTTTAAAACAGAAAGATAAAAACTAAGAACTAATAATCAAGAAAAAGAATAGAAGAAATGAAAGAATAAAGAGAAAGAAGTGCAGAAAGATAAAGAAAAAAGAAACAAATAAAAAAAACAATGACTTCTAATTTTTTTTTACAACAGATATAAGTAATACTTACATTAAATTCTTACTCTAGGATTACAACTTAACATCCATTTTTTCTGTAGTCAATTAATCTTTTGTATATAGTCTGACTTTTTAACTAATTAATGTGGGTATTTATTTTTTAAATTATTCTCGAGTTTTAATCTAACTCTGAGCCACCCAGGGTTACCCTCTGGGAGAGATGGGTGGCATACAAATTTAATTAATTAATTAATTAATTAATTAATTTACTAATCATCAAATCCATATATCATAATTTCATTTTTTTTTGTTTCCTGCAAAAAAGTCCAAAAGGGGCTTCCAGTTAGCATTCAAATTAGTAAATGTCTTTTCTCTAATCAGAGCTGTCAATTTTGCCAGAGAGAGACATTAACCACATGCCACCCCTCAGGAGGCCTTAACGAGCCAAGACAGGCATGGGTCCAGGGCATAGGTAGCAGAACTCACAGCACCAAAGGTCCTGTCCATCTTCTCAGGGCTTATCAGCTGAAACCAATAGATATAGGTCTATTAGTAAGTTAATTGCAAAAACAATTTAAATAATAACTCTTTTGCAGTTGGTAAATTGCCATTTT